CCAAAACAAAGACAAGCAAAACACAGATCTACCAAACAAAACAAAACAAAAGCAACAAAACTAATCGAGCCCTTCCAAAGTAGCAACACCAAACCGAACCAGTGGAAACAAAGCGAAAGTGAATCCCGCAGCCAGATGTATCGACCCCGAAACTGCCAAAAACCACTCGGTTGCCTAACGGTGTCGAAACCCTAACCCTGGAACAACACCAATCCACCCCGAACCAGGCCCGCAACATCATATTGCCCCGAAACGAACAAAAGTGCCACGGCCCCAACCCCAACCCCAAACCGCCTGGAAGCTACCCTCAGCCACCGCACCGCCGCATCCCCACTCCGACCAACACCACTGGCAGAGAAAGGAACTCGACGACCCCTGCGCCTCAAAAGCCAAGAACAGCGGGGAGACGATGTCGAACCGCAATCAACAACCAAGCCCCAATCGCCCAAACAATTAGGTCGCCGAGCAATTGAGGCGCATCCCACCCCCAGAACCGCTGCACGGCTCCACCACCACCCAACCAAGGCGTCACCGCCTTGAAATCACGAGTCAACGCCAGAAGAGGTGAGCTCCGATTGCAACAGACGAGGCCTAGCGCCATGGAAGACAGGTAGCGGAACAGAAAAATAGGGGGGGGAGCCAGACGGCCAAGGGCCGGCGACCGCCGGCAAAGCTAGATGGCAACTATGGAAGGCCAGCGGCTTGAAATCGGAGCGACGAGACGGAAGAGATTTGGGAGCAGCGAGGGTTTTTTAGAGAGAGAAAAAAGTCGTCTTACAGAAAATCTTATGTTCATTCTAACAATGAATTTGTTATATATAATTATTTTTTATGGGAACTTTTTTTTTTAACAGAAAAATATGGCATTTCAATAAGATTTTCGATTTAAGACTGATTGTTATCATGCTATGAAATTGAACATTCCAATATACCTTAACAAAATATACACGTGGTGTATACATCAGTTAATAGAAATATAAAATCCTCATATTTTTATATACATGTATGCAATTTTTCTATTACTAAATTTAATTGATAGTTGTAGTGTAATGGGTTTTTTCATAATTGTTACTTGGTCGTTGTGATATTTAGTTTGGTTGGTGTCGCAAAAATTCTAATCTATATATATAATAAGAATAATCATTACAATGCAAATTAGAAAAATATTGATATTAGAAGAGATTGAGTTTATGGCTTTTCTTAAATCAAAGTTGTTTAATTAGTATACAAAATTAAATTCTAAAAAAATATATGTGTATATTTTGTAAATTATTTATACACTATTTAATTTTAAATTTATTTACATATTTTAAATTGATTACTTATATAAATAATACCAACGTGCATTAAATATATTTCATTACATAAAATAAAAAGAACAAGAAGACGTGCAACTTGTATAACTTTATAAATAATATTGATATTATATGGCAACAGAGTTTAATAAATAACTATTATATAATGAATAAGAATAAGTAAAATTGTTATTTTCTCTTATATCAAGGAATAAATATATATAATAAAATTAAATTTATATTAGTATAAATGTGTTAGTGAGATAATATATTAATTATTTTACAAGTTAGCCCTAACATTCTCACGTTTATTGTTCTGACTAATAAAACAACACTGATTAAAAGATGTGAAAAAATAGATTACATCCCTATTTTTTTAGACTTAATGGTGATTAAAAGAGGTAGAAAATAGATGATAACTTTTTTCAGGCTTAAACGAGACTTAACGGTGATTAAAATAGGTGAAAAATGGATAATAACCATTCTCAGACTTAAATGAACAGAGTCTGTAAAAATAATTAATTTAATATCTCTCTCCCGTGCGATGCACGGGGTACGTACTAGTTATATTAAAGAGGGGATTGTGATAAAAGAAAATTTAAGACTCAGTATATTGTGCAACAAATTTGAGTTGACATATCTGTGTAACAAACTATCAAATATGTTGCACCTTTAAATCTACTCATCCCGTAACTCATTTTGTAACAAACTATTGGAAGTGTTTTCATATGTTTCTAACAGGATCATAGTCGTACTAGAAGACTGATTGAAGAAGTTTTCAATTAGAAAACTGTGTATTCAATATTTTAATAAACTCTTCCA